AGTTTCCTTATTCACCAAAGTTCCTGTACCTGACACCATCGCAATCATTGAAGACTTGGTTCATCAAGGACTAAACACTGAGGTACCCCCCCTGGTGAGACACTGTTTAACCAATACATACTTAACTTGGAATGGAACTTTCTACAAACAAACTGAGGGCACCCCAATGGGCACCCCCCTATCTCCGATTATAGCTAACATTTTCATGGAGAAATTTGAGACTGACACCATCCAGACTGCCACTCTGCGCCCAACCTTATGGAAGAGGTACGTGGATGACACTTTTGTCATCTGGCCACATAGCCGGCCTGCTCTAGACCAATTCTTCGACCACATCAATTCCATACACCCAGCCATCAGATTTACCATGGAAGTCGAAAAAGATGGCAAGCTACCTTTTTTGGATGTCCTAATAAAAAAAAGATCTGATGGTTCAATGAGCCACTCTGTCTACAGGAAAGCTACCCATACGGATGCTTATCTGAAACCGGATTCCCACCACCATCCATCACAGAAGAATTCTCTCATCAAGACTCTTTACCATAGAGCCCAATGCATATCCGACCAGGAACACATAGGCAGTGAACTCAAGCACGTACACCAAGCTCTTAAGGCTAATGGCTACTCCGACTATACAATCCGCAAAGCTATCACTCAAACCATAAAGAAGGACCCTCTTGAGGAGCCTTTCAAAACCATCACTTTACCAGTCATTGCGGGGATCAAAAAAAAGATCTCCAAAATCTTGAATGAACACAAGATCCAGGTCCGTTTCAACACATTACATAAAATCCGTGATCTGGTTCCATCTGTAAAAGATGTGATTCCGGACACACAGTACCCTGGTGTCTACAAACTAAGTTGCCTCTGTGGTAGTAGTCACATTGGAAAAACCAAACGCCATGTCTCGGACCGCATTCGTGAACACAAAGCAGACCTTAAACATGGTAGGACCAACACCTCGGCCATGGCAGATCATTGTTATAATTCAGTAGGCTCACATGAAATTGATTTCTCCAAGACAGAGGTTCTTTGTAAGCCATCTGGCTACCATGAGAGATTCGTTCATGAGGCTATCCACATATACAAGCAAAGAGACAATTTCAACCGAGAGGATGGATTCTGGCTTAGCAATCATTGGAAGGATTTGATAAACCATTTCAGGTCTTAATTGATTGTTCACGCTTACGGTGGCTTTCAGACAGCATACATTAATTTTTCGTCTCCCCCCTCCTCTTTTCAGAACATAGATGGACTCGTCCTTCTAAACAAACTGCCAAATCGCTGCGCGTGGTGCCGACGGTTTTTTAAAAATAAATAAAAAACACCATTTCAAAATAAATAAATAAATGCGAACCGCCACTTCTTTCAAATGTTTCTTGCCGTTGGGTTTTCACACCTAATGACGACCGTTTGTGTTATGGTCGAAACGTCGTGAGAATTTTTATTGTTTTATATATATTTTATTATTTCATTGTTTCCCTTCAACGTGACTTTACCGAAAGAGCTAAGAATATGAATTACTGCAGTCACGAAAGCTTTAAATCAAATTTAATGTCCATTTCAATTAACTTGCCAGGAGACTGAACCAGTGGCTCCTGGATTGCAGGTCCACTGTGCTAACATTGCAAGACGGCAGCATACCCTGCACCGTAGTATACATACGTAGATCAATACACTAATCCGTGTGATGTGTCCTGCTTGAAATAGCTGTGAGCCTATGACATTTAAATGAAGGTCTGGGAGATCGATGAAAACTTCCATTACACAATGCATCCATGATTAGAACGTGAACAAGGATGTATGCAGGACTACGGCGTGAAAACCCATAACCGTGAATGCAGAAACACTGTGCAGCACTAAATCGTGATGCCGTGACAAGCACGCATCACTTGCGCCTGTTGGGGCAAGACGCGTCTCGTGAGGAGCATTGGGACCTTCCCGTCATGCGATCTCGCAAGACGAAACGGCGTGGCTATCGCGTGTGAATACTGCGTACCTACTACCAGATGGTGGAGTAATTCTGAACGCTGACACGCGGCTAAATGGTGGCAATGAGCAGTTGAAACAATGGTGCAGGCTTCTCAAATCCTCCCTGCTGCTGTCCACCAAGCAGTATTAATTGAGAACACTGCAGTGAATCGGCAGGTCACGTGTTGTGGGGTAAACTGTGGGGACTCCCACCTCTTCCGAGATGCCTGGCCGGTGTGAAAGTGTAGACCAAAAAACCCTCTAGATGGGCTTCTCCTCAGAGCTCCCTCGAGTGGGCAGCCTTTCGCCAGCATTGACATGAGCAATCAATTGCAGGGCTTCGGCTTTACCATTGTGTGTGTGTATATACTGTATACATTATATACAGCTTCTGTGGGCAAGTCGCCATGTGTTCCTCTCTGTCTGGGATGGGATGTGGGTTATTTATATATCAGCAGTGTGGGATGAACGGCTTCGGCCACACGATGCCTCTAATGGGGATGCAGGCGTCCTGCCGGTTGACCTTTTCATTCTTGAAATGCAGGCGGAGAGAAGCGGCGGTGGGCGGGAGGACGGGAGCATCACATCAATCATCCCAGCCCGGTGTCTCCTTTTTCTGCAGCAAATACAGCATTACTATGGAAGAAAACACGTGTCTATGTTTCTCTATCACACACACACACATACACAGATCTCCTGTTCAGCACTTGCCGTTCATCACCATCAGCCATGATCGATCCACTGCTGGATTAAGGTCTCCCCAAGCCGCTGCTATCTCTCACGGTTTGGCGATGTAACAAAGACAAAGATCGCCCGTATATCCTTAACAGGCTGTTGGGACAAGTGCTATTAGCGAGCACCTATGAAAGGCTGGCACGGCACACACGAGGGGGTGGGTGGCGATGTTTACACACCGCACCACGTACTCACTTGAGGCTGAGTCGACCTAGGGGAGAGCCACAATCGGTTCAGATAATCGTCACTGGGCTTGGCCGTGAGCGATAATCGAACTCGGGTCGCCAGGTTCATAGCGCAGCACCATAACTACTACACTACCGCTCCCCACAATGTAACCATCCACCTAGCACCTACACACGAGCTGATTTAATCGCTCCATCTCCTCGGTGGAGGTACTCAGACATGTTAAATTGTGATGGAGTGACTACCATTCTGCCACTTCTGTTAGCAAGTAGTTAATACATCTGGAAAGACTTGGGCATGGCACATGAAGAGGTCACGTGGCCAAAAGCTCTGACGATGCCCACTCACCTAGCTATACATTGTGCTTATTAACCCAAAGGCCCAGATCAGGTTTAGATGCCACTTTGTACATGGGCAGGAATCAAACACATATCCTGTAGTGTAGCATAATTTGATAACCGCTACACTGTCACGCCCGCCTCCATCACAATTATCACTTGCATTCATCATAATCAAGTTACAAAAACGATAAAAGCCTACACTTTAACACTTAGAAATAGAAAATAAGCGGTGTTCAAAAAAATGCGTTTAATGAAATAAATCCGAAATGTGGCAGGTTGTACAAATAGCAATCTATAAAAAAAATCAAATAAACATGTATACACTGGGATGGTTTGTCGACAAAGATCCCACACGATTACCTTCATGAACTGTTGTGCTGTTATAGAGCACCGTTGAATAACAACACAGCGCACAAGATTTGGTGTGGCCGGGCCCACGACTGAACCCGATTTTGTCCCAGCAGCGCTGATGTTGACTCACACACGGCACCAGGTACTCGTTTACTTTAGGCTGAGTCGACCTAAGGGAGGGAGGAGCAGTTCAACATTTTCTCCCGATTGGGAATCTAACCGCACAATCCTGCCGTGCACTCCACAGATTGTGATAACGAGACGCTCACGACCAGATGTCACCGTGTGTCTCTTAAAGTTCAAGGTCATACATCCTCACACAGCGTCCAGGCTTCGGAGTGCCAGCCCGTGGAGACCCATCTGTGTGACAACGAACTAATGAATCACACAGCTCATGCCTACCACGACAACCCCAGTGGTATGTGTTCGACCAGAAGGCTCTCTCAGCACACACGCTGGACCTTACAAGACCATAACGCATGTGAAAGGTTACATCAATGTCTCTCTATGTCTGCTTGCCCGGCTATTACTGGACTGTGTCGATTAATCTTGGATGTCCCGACTGCTTTATGCTGGGTTCAGCATTGATTGAAAACACTGTACGGTTTGTATAAAGAATGGATTTGTATGTTTTGCAGGATCAAATGCTTCATAGCAGTTGACTGTAAAAAAATGCTGTTTATAAATAAGCGTTGAAAATGTGGACTTTTGAAACTCCTATGCCATACAGAACTCGGCTTTGTTGATGTTTTATTATCGTCAGTGTTCACCTTCGTGAGATTAACAAAAAACCGGTTATCGATTCACCGCACAGACGGAGATGTCTCTGTGGTGAACTTGAACAGTGTTTATCTTCACAACCGGTTTGCAAATGACCTCATGCCGCCGTGCGGTTTGTACTCGAGTTGAGTGCATCCATGACTGAAATTCAACTTCGAAACGGTTACCGGTTCGTTACTTTCATTAACCGGTAATAGGTGCTGAAAACGGTTACCGGTTCGCCGACTGTGTGTATTTAACAACCCTATCGCAGCATAAGCATCGTGAATACTGTACTAGGTATGCGCTATGCATGACTGACAAGTAAACGTTGATATAATACAGTACGTACGATGTATAGTTTAAGATATTTGTGGGTAAAGAATGCGGCGTAGTCCACTAATACATCACACTGTACGTGCACACTGTGTATGATGAACTTCTTTTGCACCGTACGTCGCCAACCGTGCTAACTGTAAGGACGACAAACTAAACACACAAACTCAGTCCTAAAGGAATGAGTTTGTCAATGTAGACGATTATTATTTAAAAGAGCTCTAGTGGCTTCATATCGGAAGAGCGTTCCAGACGGCCGCGGCAGCTATGTTGTATAAATATGAACACACCCGCCCTGAATGATGTACTGTACATGAGTTAATCACATCGAGGGCGGCGGGAGTTTGAATGTATCGTGGTGAGTTTAACAATATCACCTCTAACAGAGGTGGTGTAGATCGCGTAAATATCAATGCGCCGTTAAACCCGCCACCACCCGGCACAGCCAATTAGTAACAGGGTTTGTCACGTAAACAGAACGTGCCAGAGCGTTGCTAATTCAGCAAAGCGGTGGTGAGATACAGCCACAACACATCGACAAGGCAGCAGAGCCCTGAGTCAATGGCAGAAACCTGAGAATCCAAGCGCTGGGGTCGGAACTAAAACTGCGGAACGAAAACTGCGGCGAGCGCGGGGAGTTGCAGCCCGGAGCGGCCGAGTGGCGGACCGGAGCGGCCCGCCTCGTCGAGCGCGGTCAGTCTCACGTCTCAGTCTCTCATCTCAGTCAGTCTCTCGTCGTCTCAGTCTCTCGTCTCAGTCTCTCGTCGTCTCAGTCAGTCTCTCGTCTCAGTCTCTCTTCTCAGTCTCTCGTCTCAGTCAGTCTCTCGTCTCAGTCTCACGTCTCAGTCTCTCGTCTCAGTCTCTGGTCTCAGTCTCTCTTCTCAGTCTCTCGTCTCAGTCTCTGGTCTCAGTCTCTCTTCTCAGTCTGTCGTCTCAGTCTCTGGTCTCAGTCTCTCGTCTCAGTCTGTCGTCTCAGTCTCTCGTCTCAGTCTATCGTCTCAGTCTCTCGTCTCAGTCTCTCGTCTCAGTCTCTCGTCTCAGTCTCTCATCTCAGTCAGTCTCTCGTCTCAGTCTGTCGTCTCAGTCTCTCATCTCAGTCTCTCGTTTCAGTCTCTCGTCTCAGTCTCTCATCTCAGTCAGTCTCTCGTCTCAGTCTCTCGTCTCAGTCAGTCTCTGGTCTCAGTGTCTCATCTCAGTCAGTCTCTCGTCTCAGTCTGTCGTCTCAGTCTCTCATCTCAGTCTCTCGTCTCAGTCTCTCGTCTCAGTCTCTCGTCTCAGTCTATCGTCTCAGTCTCTCGTCTCAGTCTCACGTCTCAGTCTCTCGTCTCAGTCTCTCGTCTCAGTCTCTCGTCTCAGTCAGTCTCTGGGCTCAGTGTCTCATCTCAGTCAGTCTCTCGTCTCAGTCTGTCGTCTCAGTCTCTCATCTCAGTCTCTCGTCTCAGTCTCTCGTCTCAGTCTCTCATCTCAGTCAGTCTCTTGTCTCAGTCTCTCGTCTCAGTCTCTCGTCTCAATCTCTCATCTCAGTCAGTCTCTTGTCTCAGTCTCTCGTCTCAGTCTCTCATCTCAGTCAGTCTCTCGTCTCGGTCATTATGACCAGGCATTGCCTGGTCATAATGCACAATGACCATGTAATGCCTGGTCATAAGGCATGTAATGATTGACTGACTGACTACCTTTCGATTCAGATGTCAATGCAAGGCCGTTATTAAAATATTGTCATCTTAGAGTACGTAGATTGTAGAATGTTTGTTGGCTGCACCTTTCGCTGGAAACGGTCACACACAAAATTTAGGAATCCAATAACATTGCCTCTTGCATGCGTGATTCGACGCTACGTGTCATGAGTGTCAAGATATAATTCAAGAATCGGGTGTGTGACGTTTAATGCGTTATCGTTGCTGTGAAAATTGTACAAGTGTTTGTGGTAACTTATTGTACAACGTTGCATTCGCATTCCATTTATAAGCGTATTGTTTTAACGATATCTGTCATGAAATCGCATACATACTTAGCATGCTCTTACAAAGGGTGACATCACAGATTTTAACACTGACACTATCACTTTACAGTTTAGAATCATAATATTTTTACGAGAGGAATCTGATGAGCCTGAAGGTATTTTAACAGATGTCCAGGAGGTATCTTAGATTCTGTGGAAATGATCTGCACTAGAACTGGTTTCCTCGCCAATTGGCCCAGTGGCAAGCATACTGACAGCCAGGATCAATGTCACATGATGCCACCTTGGACACTCATCACTTAGGCGTATTCATTACAGTTCAGTCCTGTGATTGAAGCACATTTGTCAATTCATTTTTCAGTACTCGGTGAATGTAACATGATGTACTGAAATATTGGTATTAGCTTGATCTTCGAGCATGATTTATGAACGTCATTTCTCATTTCCCAAACTCTTATAACATTGCTCAATTCAATACACGTTTTAACTTTTACTTATTACACATTTGATAGTGCTGTTACAGGCCGTGTGACGTTCTAAGCCTTTAGGCCTGTGCTGATTGGCCGTATTAAAAAAAATTCTCCATATCTTAATACGCATTGCTTTGCAACCAAATTTGTCATCCTCTGCGAATTTCAGCGCACCAACCCATGCTTGAAATGCAGAGGAAAGCTCATTCATAAACAAAAAACCTCTGAAATTGAGAACTTTGTAAAGGTCATGAGCTGCGTCACTGGTTATTAATGCATGATGGAATTATAGCCGGTGCACTCTCCTCTGCCACCGAACCCAGGAGATCAATATTAAATAGGTGTATCGCGTTGAAGGGTTGGTACACGCGTACACATCATGATACTCACATGGGAGTGACTGCAGTCCCTCCAAATGCAAGAGAAGAAACAGTCTGGCACGGCTCTCCAAGCAGATTTTTATCCAATAATTTACAATATTTTTGTTGTCCAATCACATTCGGTTGGTTGCACTAAACCATTAGCGGCCCTTTCCAATGCCCGCTTCTTTAGCTTTTCATGACATGTGAAGGTAAACTTCTTGTTTATTTTGTGTTGCAGGGTTAGGGGTTTACGGATATGGATGTTGGTGTTGCCATGAAGGGTTAGGGCAGGCATCGGCAACCTGCGGCTATGGAGCCACATGCGGCTGTTTAAGGACTTATTTAGTGACATTATTTATTAAGGACCACCGTCTCGTATTCACATGCATTGCAGCTTTTTTTCTTTCCTGAATTGGGAAAAAAGGTCTCTTGTTTTGGTTGCCGACCCCTGGGTTCGGGTAATGGTAGCATTGCCGCCTTTTCCACTGTAGACCAAACCTAAACATATTTCTCAATCAACCTATGTATATCAAAACTGTGCAGTGTACTGTAATAAAGTTCAACAGAACACTGGTACCAGATTCTTGTACAAATCAATTCCTGCCATCCCGAACACAGATGCCCAATCCTGGACTGTCTCGGTCGAACCTGGGCAGGTGGCAACCCTCGTTCGTGGTTTTGGGGCTAGAGTTCAGGGTTATGGGTTAAGGCTGGGTAGGTGTTTAGCGTTAGAGATAAGGGTTTGGGTTTATGCTTAGGGATTAGGGTTATTTTCTTAAGCCCACGTGTGGGAACAGCAGTATCGGTCTCCTCGCGTGTTAAAAACACTGACAACACAAAACGTGGCCAACCATCTCAAATGCATAATGCGATGTTGTGTATAGTATGGCAACAATGCATAGTATGGTGTTACATTTGTATGAATTGTATATTTTATTCTCCAAGCCCAATTATTAAAGATGATTATTTTTGTGACAGATGTTCTCAGTTTCATCTAATAGGGGTTATTATAGATACGTCAGCATTGGTGTAGTGTGTGATAAACTCATCCAATCATGGTCCTGATTTATGTGACAACCATTTTGAAGCAGTTTCTTAATCTACAATCCTGTTGGCTTAGCAACCGCGTTAACTGGGATGGTAAACGTTTGCTCTTCTGTAAGACTTCATACCGATGCAACCCAAAACAATGTAGTAATTAATAAATATAAATGAATATGACGAGAAGTAAATATACACTTATACAGTGATGCTTGGGGGGGGGGGCAAACCTTGTTAAACGGAGAAAAAACGCTGAGAGGGGAAACGGTTGCCAACGGTTAAGCACGACTGGCTTCGAGGATTTAATTGTGGTGAAAATGTTAATTTCTTTGACTTTTGCTGAACTCGTGAAGGAATGTCTTGAGTATTTTTCGAGTGCATTCTGTGATTGGTACATGTAACAAATCATTGCAGTTGCCCGGGGCTTGGAGAGGCAAGGAGTGATGTGCTAATGAGATGGGATTAGCGGTGTGCACTCTTAGACTGAGCTGGGAAAAACTGGGCATTTGAATATGTGAGTCGATCCGCTTACCAAATTGTGGGATTGCTGTTTATGATTTTAAATGAAAACGGCAGGCAAATAGGGCGAACTGGAAAAATATATATTTTTTAGCAAATGTATTGCTAAATTTTTGATTGGCACTTTTATAATTAACCGAAATAAATCACCGTTGCTACTTTGCACATTGAAAAAGCACACTCTAGTCCTGTGTTAAACAAATCGACACAAACATATCAAAAGCATGCTATTTATTAAAATATAAACTGTGGCTATTTTAATCTGTGGCGTTGGTGTCCCAACGCAGCATGTTTAATAGCGATTTACTGTATAGCTTACGCAGTCCAAATTAAGCGCACGTTTAGATTTTGTTTCCTAAATGTGAAGTCGTATGTGTTGTTTTGATCCAACAACCTGACCATGAAGTGGATGGCTATCTCAGTTGCAGTCCATAGTGACAGCCTATGACCAAATCAACGTTAATACGCCCAACATGACAAGCTAAGCAGGTGTGAGCCTGGAGAATGCATGGATTGGTGCCCATCATGCACAAAATACAGGTGCAGTACCAATTGTGAGCAGTATAAAACAGCACAGCAACTTCCAGTGTTCTGCACTCCCACCTTTACAACCTGCACCGACCAGCACGGTGAAGTATGTTCGAATATCCGTCACGACCCACAGGGTGGGCAGAGGCATCATCCAACAGGAGATCAAAACGTACTGTACCTGTGCATCTACATGTGGAGTTGGATGACCAGGATAACACCCTCTCCTTGTCAGCGAACATTGTCTCAGTCATTGTGTGTCTCTGGTTGTTTTTACGATGCAGGGAAACATTTTCAAGTCTCCATGGTCTCCCAAGAAAGCCCAAAGCTTTCACTGCCATCCACGTGTGACCTCTTTGCTTCTGATACGCAGCTACCCTCCTGCAGTACCGGTAACAAAAGCCTTCATATCGATATAACCTGCACACATTGCAACTCATAATTAACCTAGCGTTGAAAAAGTCCCGTGGTATTAATGGTATGGGTGCCACGGTGGCAAGATGTTAACTACCTCGCCTAGTATGCAGGAGGTCGTGTATTTGATCCCGACCCTGGCGCCTGCTGTATATTTGGAGGTTGCGTGTCTCCCTCCATATAGCCGCGTGGATTTTTCCGCGGGCCCTCCGGTTTTTCCCCTCCACATTTATAAAAATGTGTTTCGAGTATTTAATTGCTTTAAATTTTCACGTAATAAGCCACTTGGTGAGGCTATCATTTGTGGCCAGGTCGCTACAGAAAAAGAGCTAAATATCTCAGTGAGCGATACCTTGTAAAATAAAAAAAATTGTTTGTGGTTAGTTTAATGTACATATCGATGTAGGGGTACACATTAAACCAAATGACCCGGATTGCATCAAAACTTATCAGATCTGGACAGCTAAGCAGCATCCATCCTGGATATTGCCTTGGATGCATGACCACACAACATTTAAATTTATGTTGTAGGCTATTGCGGGGTTCTGTTATCAGCATAGGTCAGTAAATCCATTGTACTGTACTATGTTGCCTTGACCAACCCGCACCAAGTGACGTGGTGAAGTGTTGTCAGATAACCCCCATGATGTGCACGATGCGGAGATGCCCTAATCCAGCAGTGGCTTGACAATCGTGCCATACGCATGTACGTGTAGAAGTACAGGCTCTAACTTTTCGTTTTCAAGCGCTGGTCGCTGCTTGAGATGATCAGCAAGTTTTGGCTTGTCTGGCGTCTCTTTAGCAAAAGAGTTATTTTTGCTGTTGTGTGGAGGGTTTTGCTGTTGTGTGGAGAATTTTTGCTGTTGTGTGGAGGGTTTTTGCTGTTGTGTGGAGGATATTTCCTGTTGTCTGGAGGATTTTTGCTGTTGTGTGGAGGGTGTTTGCTGTTGTGTGGAGGATTTTTGCTTGAGGCTCATTTAAACCATTCCACTACATCAAGTCCAGTTTTGTCAGCCACTGCTTAAGGATTTTCCTTCCATGAAGATATGTTTACACAACTATAGCGATATAAAGGAATGACATTAAGTAAACTCTCCGGTTGCTTGTGAAGATTGTACAAGATTGTCTAATTGTACAAGATTGTGTATATGTATGTGCTTAATGCAGATCTACCATGGATAATATTACGTTTATGTTTATTCCTTTATTTTACCCATCTTGGAAATCCATCTTATATTGTGACTGCGAATAGGATGGTGAGATCCTGACTCCTCTTCTGATATATTCATTTTGTTACTAACTTGATATAATTGTTGTTTAGCTGCCCTCTCTATTCACATGTCAAAGTGCATTGATATAAAATATTTAATTTGGGAAATTCCTCGATGGAACAATCTTTCAATCTCCAGCACACATGATGTACTTTGACATGGATTATAAACGTGAACTCTGACAATTACTATGAAAAAAAATACATGTAAGATGCATGATTTGGAATTGTACAGAGAGACAGAGGAACGCATGGATCTGAGAACAAGTGCAAATTAGAGACGTCATTGAACGTTGAGGAAAGTTCAGCGGACCTGGCATGGACGAATCGCCAGAGGGGGTGATGTCCGACGGACGAGACTGGTGGCGGAATGGCAGCCAAAGGAGGCATGTGCCTGAGAGGATGACCATGGCAGAGATGGAGCAATGATGTCAGCTCAAGCAGGAGTGAATTGGACCGTGGTGTCGCATTCATTATGGCTTGTGATGATGTGTGTACTGCGTGTGTGGAATTTGTATGTATGTTGAACTTCTATCACACCATACGTAGCCAACCGCACTAATCAGAGGTGCGGGGGAAGGACAACAAACTAAACACAAAAAAGTTCTAAAGAAATTTCTTTTCAATCTAGATTGAAAAGTGCATACAGTGAGGGAAAAAAGTATTTGATCCCCTGCTGATTTTGTACGTTTGCCCACTGACAAAGAAATGATCAGTCTATAATTTTAATGGTGGGTTTATTTGAACAGTGAGAGACAGAATAACAACAAGAACATCCACAAAAACGCATGTCAAAAATGTTATAAATTGATTTGCATTTTAATGAGGGAAATAAGTATTTGACCCCCTCTCAATCAGAAAGATTTCTGGCTCCCAGGTGTCTTTTTTACAGGTAACGAGTTGAGATTAGGAGCACACTCTTAAAGGGAGTGCTCCTAATCTCAGCTTGTTACCTGTATAAAAGACACCTGTCCATAGAAGCAATCAATCAATCAGATTCCAAACTCTCCACCATGGCCAAGACCAAAGAGCTCTCCAAGGATGTCAGGGACAAGATTGTAGACCTACACAAGGCTGGAATGGGCTACAAGACCATTGTCAAGCAGCTTGGTGAGAAGGTGACAACAGTTGGTGCGATTATTCGCAAATGGAAGAAACACAAAAGAACTGTCAATCTCCCTCGGCCTGGGGCTCCATGCAAGATCTCACCTCGTGGAGTTGCAATGATCATGAGAACGGTGAGAAATCAGCCCAGAACTACACGGGAGGATCTTGTCAATGATCTCGAGGCAGCTGGGACCATAGTCACCAAGAAAACAATTGGTAACACACTACGCCGTGAAGGACTGAAATCCTGCAGCGCCCACAAGGTCCCCCTGCTCAAAAAAGCACATATACATGCCCGTGTGAAGTTTGCCAATGAACATCTGAATGATTCAGAGGACAACTGGGTGAAAGTGTTGTGGTCAGATGAGACCAAAATGGAGCTCTTTGGCATGAACTCAACTCGCCGTGTTTGGAGGAGGAATGCTGCCTATGACCCCAAGAACACCATCCCCACCGTCAACCATGGAGGTGGAAACATTATGCTTCGGGGGTGTTTTTCTGCTAAGGGGACAGGACAACTTCACCGCATCAAAGGGACGATGGACGGGGCCATGTACCGTCAAATCTTGGGTGAGAACCTCCTTCCCTCAGCCTAGGCATTGAACATGGGTCGTGGATGGGTATTCCAGCATGACAATGACCCAAAACACACGGCCAAGGCAACAAAGGAGTGGCTCAAGAAGAAGCACATTAAGGTCCTGGAGTGGCCTAGCCAGTCTCCAGACCTTAATCCCATAGAAAATCTGTGGATGGAGCTGAAGGTTCGAGTTGCCAAACGTCAGCCTCGAAACCTTAATGACTTGGAGAAGATCTGCAAAGAGGAGTGGGACAAAATCCCTCCTTAGCTGTGTGCAAACCTGGTGGCCAACTACAAGAAACGTCTGACCTCTGTGATTGCCAACAAGGGTTTTGCCACCAAGTACTAAGTCACGTTTTGCAGAGGCGTCAAATACTTATTTCCCTCATTAAAATGCAAATCAATTTATAACATTTTTGACATGCGTTTTTCTGGATTTTTTTGTTGTTATTCTGTCTCTCACTGTTCAAATAAATCTACCATTAAAATTATAGACTGATCATTTATTTGTCAGTGGGAAAACGTACAAAATCAGCGGGGGATCAAATACTTTTGTCCCTCACTCTAGCTCCAGTGGCTTCCTAATATCGGAAGAGCATTCCACGTGGCGGCAGCAGCGCCTCAGAAAGCAAGCGATGCAGTGTCCGTCTTTGTTCGATGGCGAGACAAAAGCCACTGCAAGGCTTGCCTGGACATCCCCATTTGTCTCAAAACGAGCACGTGGAACATTGTGATCTCCCCCATTCTATACTGAAGAGGCAAGAGTGGCCCGGCATAAAAGCTGCTGATGAAGCCCCCTTCATGTGCCGTGACCGCCTTGATATGTGCCCGGAAACAGCGCTCACCCCCATGGTCTTTATGGCTAAATGGGACACCTGTGTCTATATAAATAATTTGAAGCCTCACGACTACAAGAGATACTTGCAGTAGCGTTCTGCTGTCAGGCGCACAGCTCGTGTCTGAGGGGTGTGTGGGCGTGCATTGCTAGGACATGATGACAGCCAGGAGTGGGCTCACCTGCCTTGGGATACGACCGCTTTGAGTCGCTGTAGGAACACGTACAGTAACACTGCCAAGTGAATCCATAAAATGTACCAAGAATCATTGTATTTTCTAGAAATTCGATGTGAATTACAGCCTAGCTTATACAACTTTCATTGGTCTGCAGGAAAATTAGAGGTCCCACAAAACCTGAGGGATTGAAGGCACAAAGGGATCACACTCATTAGGCACACCGTGCCAGGGTTGAAATTTGATTAATTCGATATTATTTTTTACATCTCCATTAAACCTATTTTATTTGCGCAATAGCCTAAATGTCACATTCCAGCCCTTTTTGTTAATCTGCTTCTGGATGAAGGCCTCTACATGCTATCTTGTACATGGTGTTTGCTTAACCATACTTAACCATACTTAACCATACTTAACCATACTTAACCATACTTAACCACGCTGATCAGGTGCCAGTTGGTGAAGGGGGGAAACCCGGGATTGCTTAAAATATCACTCGCCACCGACATCAGGCATGGCTAGAAAGCAAACCAGAATTGCCTGGTTCATAGCACCAATGCTAATCGCTGCACTAACCACTCCACCAAAATGTAAGATTAGCATGCAAGTTGCTGAGCAAGTGAGAAGGGCTGCCCTCTCCTGTGTGTGGACCAGAGGTCGCTTGAAGGGATCTCAGAGGTTGCACTGTGATATCCACTTCCGTGGGCCGATCTCAAACATGAATGCTTTTCGCATGGCTTTGCCTGAGATCTGAAATGAAACTTAATCTCATTACATGATGCGAATAGCACAATCGGCGTGAAATAATGGCGAAAACATTACATATTTTCACGGAATATCACTTGCATAAATGTTTTTTTCTTTCAGTTTATTTATTTTGGTATAGTCCTTGAGCCATTCGGCTCTTGAATCTGGTGCAACCGCAACAAACAAAAAAACACGAAAAACATCGTAAAGTGATTATGTGACTGTGCAAACAGAAAATCCATGAAAAAAAACAGCAAAATATTCCT